CAACATGGAAATTAGGGCATGGGTGTCTCTTGCCTAGCTCTAAAACAGATACTCTATTCAAGCCTTAGATATAAAAGGGGAAAATTCCTTGTACTTCTCTAAGATATCACAGTTGTTTCTCAATTTAAGGCAGTGGTTTTCCACCTTGCCTACATACTAGAACCCCCTAGGGAGCTTTAAAAAAATACTGGATCCATCCTGGATGCATGCCCAGAGATTCTGGTTTAACTGGACTAGGATCTGGCCTGGGCAATAGAATTTGTAAAAGTGTGAAGCAGCCAGATGGTGTGGAACCCTGGCTGCACATAGTTTATCATTCCATATGTGTTTTTACACTTTACTACCTTGTGTATGGAGGTTTAAAGGTTACTGTTGTGCAGTCTTAAAAATTTATATAAATTGTATCCTACTGAGTGTACCACTGGGAGCTTGTTTTTACCTAGCATGGTTCTGATGCATCCCAGTTGATACTTACACCTCTGGTTCATTCATTGTAACTGTTATAGCTGGTTAAAAAAACCTTACTTCTACACCATCATTTTCTGCTCTCTTTTACTGCAAAATTCATGTGCAGTTAGTGGTTCAGGTCAAAAACCTTGGAGTCATCCTTGACTCCTCTTTTTTTAATGTCCCAAATCCATTCATTTGGAAATCCCCTTAGCTCTGTCTTCAAATATATCTGACAATTTCTCATCACCTCCACTGCTACCACTGGGTTCCAGCCATCATAATCTTTTGCCTGGATTATTGCAGTAGCATCCTAAGTGGTCTCCCTGGTTGATCTCCTGTAATTGATTGTCTCAAAGCAGTCAGGATAATATAAATCAGATCATTCCTCTTCTCAAAACCCTCCAATGGATTCCCATCTCTCTCGGTAAAATCAAGTTTTACCTGGGCCTGCCAGAACATGGCATGCATTTCTACCATCTCACCACCTTCTGATCTTGTTACTGAGTCCAAGATCGTACCGCTCGCCGCCACGTCAGGCCAGTAAGTCGAGAGAGGAGTTGTTGGGGCAAGGAATAGCAACTTTATTCAGAAAGCCAGCAGACCAAGAAGATGGTGGACTAGTGTCCCAAAGAACCATCTTACCCGTTAGAATTTGGGCTTCTTTTATACTAAAGGGGGAGGCAGGTAGCTGGTTGTTGCATACTTCTTGATGCAGGAATCCTTTGTTCTTGCAGCTGTCCACAGAGGTCTGGTTACACTGTTCCTATAAATTTCCAACAAGATAATTGCTATTTTCTATTCTGCAACTTTTTTTCTTAATTTTTAAAAATTTTTGGCTGCATTGGGTCTTTTTTGCTGCATGTGGGCTTTCTCTAGTTGTGGCAAGCGGGAGCTACTCTTCGTTGCGGTGCGCGGGCTTCTCATTGCAGTGGCTTCTCTTGTTGCAGAGCATGGGCTCTAGGCGCACGGGCTTCAGTAGTTGTGGCACATGGGTTCAGTAGTTGTGGCTCGCGGGTTGTAGAGCACAGGTTCAGTAGTTGTGGTGCACGGGCTTAGTTGCTCCGCAGCACGTGGGATCTTCCCGGACCAGGGCTCGAACCCGTGTCCCCTGCATTGGCAGGCGGATTCTTAACCACTGCACCACCAGGGAAGTCATATTCTGCAACTTTTTAAAGGTCAAAGCCTTAAGAATGGGCTATCCTGTATACTTCAGGCTATAGGCAACATTCTTTTACAAAGGTGCAGAGCCAGCATGACTAAGCACAGGCCACAGAGCACAAGAGTTAGCACTAAAGGAATAGATCCAGTATGGAGTCAGGCTTGTGCTTCTGTTACAGTCTCATCTACCTCTGCTCCTCACTCATGTTGCTGTAGCCACATTCGCTTTCTTTTTGTTCCTTGAACATAATCTCATCCCCACCTCTGGACCTTTGGATTTGCTGTTTCCTCATTGATCTGAAAAGGGTACTGCTTTTGAGAAATCAGTGTATTGGGGAAAGGAACACAGAAGCAGGAAAACAAAACAGACCCGCCTCTCACCTGTTTTCCCATTGCCGATTCACTATTCCTCTGGTTACCTCTTGGTTCAGGGGCTTGATCCTATCTGAAATGACCTCTTTACACTGGCCACCTACCCAAATCTTCTCCACCTTGAAGGTTCAGTTCCAGCCCAGGCTCCCTCTACATCCATGTCCATACCATCCCTGACCCTTGCCATCCAAAGACTATTTTCCAAAACTCATCAGAGATTACCAGGGGCAGCCTGGTTCTGGGTAAGTTCTCTTAAGAACCCAGCCTGGTTCTGGGTAAGTTCTCTTAAGTTGTGAGCACTGGTCTTCTAGACTTAATGCTAAATTCTTTTAAGATGGTTCTCAACTTTGGTTGCATATTGGAATCACCTAGGAGCTTTAAGAAATGTTGTTGCCTGAGCCCCATCCCTGAGATTCTGATTTAATGGGCCCGGGTGTGTGGCCAGGACGTCAGAATTTTTTAAAACCCCCTCAGGTGATTCTACTGTGCATCCATTTTGAGAACCATCAACTTTCCTACAAGGACTGTCTCGTATATTCTCTCGGTAGTTTGAATTATTATGGATTCTCGATTAGTTTATAAAAGAAAAGAGAACCTGCTAATGCTTGTCAAAGGCTAATCACAGCGATCAGTCCCCCCACCTGCTTTCTGTAATTTTCCACTACTCTGACTCTGCTCAAGCCCCCGCTTGTCTCCCCTCCCACTTCTTCATTTTCCCCTTAAAATTCCAGTCACCTTTGTACAGAGCCTGCCTGAATTCAGTTCTATACTGAGGGCTCTCCCCTAACTACAGGAGTTACCAAGTAAAATCTGTCTACACTACCTTTAACTAGTGTTTGGCTTTTCTTTAACCATCTCCATTTAACAAGATCCTTAGGTGATTTGCATGTATATGAAAGTTGGAGAAGCACTGTTTCATAATATTTATCATTCCCTAAATGACTTCTAATAAACAGCCCTCAACTATAGACAGGAATTATTATGCCCATTCTACCATTGAGAGATTAGGGTCAGAGCTTTGCTCAAAGTCACACAGTTAAACTAGAACTTGAACCCACTATAGAACTCAGTCTGGCGTTCTTTCCATAATGCCATGCTAATTGGAGAGAGAAGACACAATGCACGTAAAGACCCAGGAGTAAAACAGCTGGTGAAGGAGATCACAGTAAGGTTCCTCTCTAAACATCCATTGCAGCAATGTCCTTGCAGGCTCTGCTCTTCTTTGGTTGCAGGAGAACTGTTTCAGAATCAAGTGTCTTCTAGGCACCAAAGAATTCTCATGTGGGGGCTTACCTGGTGGCTCCGTGGTTAAGAATCTGCCTGCTGATGCAGGGGACATGGGTTCAAGCCCTGGTCCAGGAAGATCCCACATGCCGCAGAGCAACTAAGCCCGTGCGCCACAACTACTGAGCCTGCGCTCTAGAGCCCACGTGTCACGACTACTGAGCCTGCGTGCCTAGAGCCCGTGCTCTGCAACAAGAGAAGCCACCGCAATGAGAAGCCCACGCTCTGCAACGAAGAGTAGCCCCTGCTCGCCACAACTAGAGAAAACCCGTGTGCAGCAACAAAAACCAAACACAGCCAAAAAATAAATTAATTAATTGATTAAAAAGAATTCTCATCTGGGTTATCCTATCAATAGCTGGAGTCCCAGAGATTACAGCTACTGGGGGCTGAGTCACTGTATTGACCCTCTTCAAGTACTAAAGAGCGCTGCCTCAACGTCTGCAGGAGCCCAGCACTTCAGGGGCCCCTGCACATACCACATAGCCGCCACCACATGAAGTCAGACCCAGTCCTGGTCTTAGTCCTGAACTAGCTGCCCCTACTTACTGTACACTCAGTGTCGTCACGCCTGCCTTCCCAGCTTTACCTCCAACCTCAGTCTTCATCCTTGCTTTCCTGGATAAACACTGACTCCCCTCCTCCTGGCTGCTTTGGTTCCTTGGGTAAATACAATAGTTTCCCCTTATCTGTGGTTTTGCTTTCCACCCTTTCAATTTCCCACAGTCAACTGCCCTCTGAAAACATTACATGGCAAATTTCAGAAAAAAACAATTTATAAGTTTTAAATCACACACCATTCTGAGTAGCATGATAAAATCTCGTGCTGTCCCGCTCTGTCCTGCCTGGGATCCCCAGCCATCAACATCGTCTGCTGCTGACTTCCAATCACTGACATTGTCATGGCTCAGTAATCCAGGATCACCTGAAGCAGACAATCCTCCCTCTGACTTAGTGTCAAAAGGTCAGTAGTAGTCTAACCCTACATCACAATGCCTACATCATTCACCTCGCTTCATCTCAGCACATAATCATCTCACATCATCACAAGAAGGATAAGTATGATAGATGTTTTGAAAGGGACCACAGTCACATAACTTTTGTCACAGTATAGTATTATAATTGTTCTATTTTATTATTAATTATTGTTAATCTCTTATTGTGTCTAATTTATAAATTAAAATAATAGGTACGTATGTATAGGAAAAAACACAGTATGCGTAGTGTTCGATACCTTCCATGGTTTCAGGCATCCACAGGGAGTCTTGGAACATATACATATGAGGGGACCACTGTAGTCCTCTTCTCTGGACTCCCATCCCCGCCTTCCTACTCCTGGGCCAATTTGGTGCCTTGAGCAGACTCCCTAGGGCAGAGCTCCCTTCAGGCTCTTGCTGACCTCATACTTACTCACAAGACAAAATTTCAAAGATAACAAACCAATGAACTAAGTTACATTTCATCTTCTCTGTCCTTCTTCCTCCTCGGTCACCAAATTAGGCTAGAAAACCATCAATAGGAAAGCAGCTACCAGTTTTAAATGCCAAGTCATTCCTCTAGGAAAGTCAGTAAAATCACTAACATGAATGACAGGATGAACTTTTCTGGGCATTTGGAAACCTCTTAGATCATTAGAACTAGAGGAACTCCTCCCCCGACCCTACCCCATACACATGCAGAATACTGATTTTTCATGTTCAGTGTCTTTGGCCCCACTTAAAAAATTCAGCCGTTACTACGGTAAATATTTTTATTGTTAGTTTTGTCAGAAACGTTTGTACATATGGGCAATTTCTGATGCCTGATTTTATTAGAGCCTAATTTTACTGATCATCTCTTCTAGAAAATCAAATCTCCAAGATTAGAATGGAAGACAATGAAAAAATAGATTTCACTTTATAGTTTAACCTTTATCGAGCCATCCAAAGCACATAGTTCTTTTATACGAGTATTACTTCAACATAATATAATAAATCATAACAAACCAGTGAACTAAGTTACATTTCATCTTCTCTGTCCTTTTTCCTCCTCAGTCACCAGATTAGGCTAGAAAACCATCAACAGGAAAACAGCTACCAATTTTAAATGCCAAGTCATTCCTCTAGGAAAGACAGCAAAATCACTAACATGAATCATTCATTGAAAACACAAGCCAGAACCTTATACCGTTAATCTTCAAGTCAATCACCAACTTTTCTTAGATTTTTAAAGACACGAAAATGAAAATCATTTCAAATAACAGCACTCAAACACCATATATGTTTGTAATGAGGTGTAGCAGTCAACTTTAAGCCTCAGATTTTCCAGGTTTTAGCTGAAATAAGCCTTATTAATTAGCTTTTTAGATTTTTATCAGTCTTGTTTGGGGGTTATTTTGCCTTATTAGGCCTAAACAGAGTACAATATTAAAATATGTTAATTGTCTATACTGAGAATATGGCATAAATGGGTTTCTAACTCCTTAGGGACAGCAGTGGAAACACAACACATCCCATGAACACGGGTGAGAGCCCTAGTTATCCCTGAGCTGGGCAGTGTCACACAATCATTTCTTCTCTGAGGCTGAAGTCTGTGGTTTGATGATCTTCTTAGCAGCTTCCAGAACAGAAACTAGGTTTACTTTGTCTCCAAATTCTTTTTCTCGGTGCTCCAGAAGAATGCCCTGAAAGGAAACAAGAGGGTACATCAGTCCTCACTCTTGAGTCATTCATTCATGAGACAGACACTGAGTGCCAGCTGTCCATCAAGGCCCTTGCTTGGGCAGCAAGGAACAGAGATCCGAATTGGTCCCGGCTCTGCCCTTGAAGAGTTCAGTCTTTTGGGGAAGGTAGATCAGGGGAGGCTCCTCCGCAATATTTGGACTGTACAAGCAGCACTTTGGGAGCCGGAAGTCAGGAGGCTTCACAGGTGATAGAGCATGTCTACAGGTAGAGATGCACGTAAAAGAACATTCCAGGCAGAAAGAACAGAATGAGCTTGCACAGAAAAGCCTGGAGTTGTGGAAGTAGAGCTCAGAGGTCAGACCTTGACAGGCACTAAGTGAACACCTGAAAAGGGAGACGCTATCTTTAGTTTTCCTACGAAACTGGAGGCCACTCACTTCTGATACCATGAAGCAAAATGCACTAAGACATACTACACCCCAAAATACCCTAAAGTTGTAAAAAAGATAAAATGTGTTTGAGATCAGCATCAAGGAATCCTTGTTAAAGGGTTCTTTGATAGGTGACAAATTAAACTCAAATTGAATTTAAAAAATAAACATTTATAAACATGTTATTTGTACCATTATTTATAAAGACTTTTAAAAAGAAAAGTGCCACCACACTGTGGTGACTACAGAGAAGCAGATCAGGAAAGTACATTCACTCGCTCATTAGCGCGGTTTGCAGACGTTAAAAACACTGAGGAAGAACATATGATGGCATGGGGAAATGTTCATGACACGCTGTTAAATGAAAAAAGAACATCTAGTTTAGTAAGGTACCGTTTTCTAAAAAAAAAAACAAAAGGCCTGTCAGCTCAGCTCTGTCCTAAGAGGTTGTCCCTGGTAGCTGAGCTTATAGAATGGCTCTCCCCACCTTCTCTGTTTTCAAATTTCCTATGTTGAAAACACACTGCTTCTTTAAAGTTAAGTATGCTTTAAAGATTATTATGACAAAGGAAATCCCTACTGAGTGGCACCTGGCACAGTGGGACTGCAAAAACTCTGCTCTGAAGAAACACGGAGGTAAGCCCTGAGGCCAGGCCAGCCTGGTCAGCCTTCCACCAGGAAGGAGGAAGACAGGAGCTCCGGGGAGCACCAGCAAAGTCAAACAACACCCCAGGAGCGAGCCAGCAGGCTTGGGCAGCCCGTGAGCACCAGGTGAGTCACTGCCAGGCAAGAGGAGGCTGGCAGGTGAGCCAAACCCTTCCCTGGGGGCTGAGGAAAGGCAGAGATAGGAAGGGGAAGGAATCCCAGGGGCCCGGAGTGGGAAGAGGCTGAGGGATCCTGAGGAAGTGGCCTGCCCAAGTGCAAGGGTACCTGGAAGGGGTCTTTGGGAACCACCTCCAAAGTGGGGCTATGGGCAAGGGAAGGGCAGGGTCTCTGGAGCAGGACAGATCGGAGTTCCTGAGCTTCATTCCCTTTGCACCACATACTAGCCCCATATCTTTGGCTGAGTTATTTCATAGGCCCACTTCCTTACATGTAGATAGGAATAAAAATACCGACCATCCCAGACTGGTTGCAGAGAAGACAGGAGATCACGTATATGAGCACCTGGCACAAGGCAGGTACTCACTGGCAGCCGTTATCACTAAGACATTTCGATACATTACCAGAAAGTTAGCAAACAGGTTTATGTTATATCAGACACCAATTCATGCTAGATTCTCACACAGACAAGCAACTGCAGATACCAAGGTTTAAAAGGAAGAGATTCGAAATACAGCTTAAAATTGAAGGCATTCTAGTCCCACTAGCTTTCCTCCCCAACTGGGGAAAGTATGCAGTTATCAACGTCAGTGGTGAGTTCCACCATGCAGACCAACCCTGTCTTCTTTTTTCTTTTTGGCCGCACCATGTGGCTTTTGGGATCTTAGTTCCCTGACCAGGGATCAAACCCGTGCCCCCTGCAGTGGAAGCACCGAGCCCTAACCACTGGACCGCCAGGGAATTCCAACCCTGTCTTTTTACAGACAAGCTCAAATGTTAATGTCATGCCCGAAGTTGGTCAGACGAGCCTAGAAATCAGACCACTGGGTCTTCCTGCCAGGCCTTGAGCCTGCACTCACTGTACCCTGTCCTTTCTCTGAGGCCACCCGGCCTCTGCTGGCACTGCCGTGAGTCTGCCGTGGAGCATCCACCCACCCGCCTCCTGAGCCCACAGAGACCTCATCTCTCCACACCTTCCCTTAAGCCCCCGTGCTGACTCTGGATCCCCACAGCCAGGGCCTGAAATAGAGTGTGCAGAGAAGTCTGCTGCCCCTCCAGAGACAGCCAGGCCACCAGGACCCCCGCAGGGAAAGCACCACCCAGCACAGCTCCCTGCTGCTCCCCCAACGAGGTCTCTTTCCATTCCTTCTCTCCTCTTCACTTTTCTCTACTGTCCATCCTCAATGACAGGGAACACTGCAAGGGAGTAAATTCTTCACAGAATAAAGACTCTGCTTTTGTTCTAGTGTAGAAAACAGAACTTGACATCAGGAAACCCGGGTCCAGGCTCCTGAAGTGCCACTGAGGAGCCGTCCTCCTTGGTGCAGTCACTTGCCCCCTCACAAGTTATTTACCTGCAAGACTCAGACTATGTCGCGATGTTACTGTGACGAGGGAGGGGGTCGTGTGTGAGGTGCCGAGAGAGCAGGCGTGCAATAAACGATCATTTCCCTCCCTTCCCCTTCCTCATGCTCCCTGGCTTTCTGGAAGGAAGGCTGGGAGACTCCGAGCAGGGAAAGCCACCCTCCCACCCGACACATCGGGGTCTCATGCTCACAGACCCACGAGTGAACACGCTAGCAATTTACCTGCTTTCCTGGTCCCACCACAAAAACTCCCCCAAGGATGAAGCCCTCGCCTTCCAGGTTTCCAGAAAAGCCTCCACTCCGGGCCCGGAAGAAGTTGTACCAGACACCCAGACGGACAAATCCCATGAACATCATCTTCCGCCTTTCCGGACCATAGAACTTCTTCTGTAGGAGCGAGGAAGACAGACCCCACATGAGTAGCCCATATGCCGGCCTTCCCCAGGGAGGAAAGTTCCCAGCAGGGCATCTGTGTTCAGACAAAGGCCCAAAGGCTGCTGGTTCCTGTCCTCCACCACCCGACACACAGCTGCCACCCAGGAGCGCTCTCAACTGCCCGAGCTAAAGAGAACCCTGCGGCCTGCCACCCTGACTCTAATCTCTTGCTATGGACCTACAGGGTTCTTGGGCCTGAAAGAGTGATAACAGTCCTACATTCTGCAGAGGTCAGTAAAGGGGAAAGAACTATGGCTGCAATGAATTAAGGGACAGGGGCTTGTGCTGGGCAAACCCCTGCAGCGCAGGGAAACCAGTGGAGCTTTCAGCTATTTCCAAGGCTCCCATTCCCGGGTCACAAGTCAGGAAGGGCTCAAGTAATAACTGAAGGACAGCTCTTAAGTTTTTTTCACTCATGCTCTGCTCAGAGGGCTAGGGGCAGCTGAAAGGGAGGCCGACTCCAACTCCTGTCCAGACATGCTTTGGGCCACCGAACTCTCCACGCACAAGCGCAATCCCCAGCGGTCTGTGTCCGACAGGCTCACAGCACACGTACCTTTTCATCCAGGAAGATTTCTCCTTTGAAATAAGGCTGGAAGTCCTTCACTTCAGTCTTGACGTGCTCCTTTACCACTGCGTAGAGGGGGATGCCCAGCTCATCCAACTTGGGCTTCAGGGAGGACAGGTCTGCAGCCTCCTGCAGAAGACAGGAAAGGTCAGGGGCATGAACTCTCGGGGCTCTGCAGCCAACCAGCACCCTCTTTCCTACAGGCCCAGAGCATGGCTGGCACCGAATGCAGAAGAACAAAGGCAACAAAATGCCAAGAACAATTAAGGCCTGTGTAGACCAGCAAAAGACTGTCCCAGTTGGGCACGAGGCCTCAGGATAGAGTGTCAGGTCCCCTCCTCAGCCCAGGTTCCTGTCCTGTCCATGGAGGGAAGGAGAGGCTAGTCTCCTGTTATGGGTGTCCTAACCATGGCCTGGGGAGCATCCGATAACTAAGAGCTTGCACCCAAACTCAGTCCTCCACTCCTAGCCACAGTGCTTCTCTCCTCATCTCCCAGCCCCTCCACTGCACTAGAGCAAACTAGCACAAGGGCCTAGCAGTCGGTCTCCATGCGGGCCATGTGAATAGTTGCCTCCACACCTCTGCTCAGCTGGCCCCCTCCCATTGCAATAACCTTCCTTCTTTCTCCAGCTCAAATCCTGCCCTCTAGAAAAGGATCCCTGTTCTAAAAAGCTCTCCCTGGCTAGCGCAGCCTGGAGTAAAGGCCTGATTCTCTGTGTATATCTAATCTTTCCTGCTTGGCGACTTTTTCTGTACTGAGTCCACTGGGTTCCACTAAGTTGAGCTTTGTCCCTTAAGTTCCCAAATGTGTCTCAGAGTCAGAAACTGCCTTCCATTTCTTGCATCCCTCAGTGCCTAGCACGTGGCTGGATATGCAGAAGGTACTAGGTACCAGGAGGAAAGATTCCAGGTGAAGGTGGACAATGGGGAGACCGCAGCTGAGCTGGGAAGTATGGACATCCCTGATTCTCAGGAACTGCGGGCTAGATGAAAAGATGAAACTCACACATCAGGGTAGAGCTTCGATGTTAAGAACAAACTACTTTTTCACATTTGGTGTCAGAATGAAAGAAACAGCAGGAAATCCTGTCAGAAGCAGCCTACTTGCCTCCAATACATTTGCTATATGGTGGCAACTGCATTTAATTTTTTCATGTATTTTCTGGAACAACAACAAAAGGATAATGAAGCAGAATTCATTACAATGCATTTGTCAAGAGGTTCAGTGAGTGGCAGACTCTGCCCAAGAGCAGAGAGGACTACAGGTCTCATGTGGTCAAAGAGCACCTGTGTGTGAGAGGAAAGGTTTTACTCACTTTCCCTGGGCTTTACTCAGAAAAAGTGTGAAGTGGAAACTGAGTCACATGCCTCCCCCCTCAAAGTAACTTTACCTGCCATCCAACCATCCTTTTAGAAACATAAGTTTCCATAAAATGCTCTACCAGGGTACGGACCAGAGCCCAGAAAAACAGGTTGTAATTAGAGCAGGTGCTCCTGGAAACTTGGGGTTTAGGTGGCCTTGAGAAATCAAGTCACAACAGGCTTCCATGTTGGTATTTGGAGGCATCAGAGATTGGACTCAAAAGCCCTGAGTTTAAATGTCACCCGCTGTGGTAGGCAGAATAATACCTCCTAAGGATGGATGTCCACATCCTAATCCCAAGAACCCGTGAATATGTTTTGTTACATGGGAAGGGGGATTAAGGCAGCAGATGAAATTTCGATTGCCAAGCAGGTGATCTTAAAGGAGATTATCCTGTTTTATCTGGGTGGTCCCAATGTGGAATCACTAAGGTCCTTAAATGTGGGAGAGGAAAGCAGCACGGTCAGTGTCATAGTGACACAATGTAAGAAAGACTTGGCCAGCTATTGCTGGCTTTAAAAATGGAGGAAGGGGGCACGAGCCAAGGAATGCAGATGGCCTCTAGAGGCTGGAAAAGACACAGAAATTATTTATCCCCTGGAGCCTCCAGAAGAATTACAGCCCTGCTGATACCTTTATTTTAGCTCAGTGAGACCCATTTCAGAATGCTGACCTTTAGAACTGTAAGAAAATGAATCAGTGTTATTTAAAGCCACTGAGTATGTGATCACGTGTTACAGCAGCAATAGGAAATTAACACACCCCCTACAGCAGTATGACATTGTCACTACCTCTGTACCTCAATTTCCTCCTCTGTAAAATGAGAATGACAACAACAAGCTGTATTTTCCAGGGATGCAGTGGGGAACCAATGAGGTACCGACGGGAAGTGCCCTGAATGTATAGAACGATAGTGCACCATGCAATGTAGGCAGATTCTCAGCCAGCCCAACCACACAAGCAGGGGAGAGCTCTGCAAGGCTGAAAGGAAATGCCTCAGGATAAGACAGGACAACCAGGGGAAGGAGGATGGCAACTCGGACAGGACCGAAGCCATGACCTGAAAAGCAAAGTTTTCTCAAGAGCTGGAGTACTGTCGTTCCCAGTTCTCCCCCAGGCAAAGCCGTGAACCTCGGGACCTGGGTCTTCTGTCACTGACTGTATGACCACGGATAGGTCAACAAACCACTCGTATCCTCAGTTTACCTATGTGTAAAGTGACAAGGCTGGACCCTGCCTTCCCTTGACAAGCTTCCTCACTTACTGAACAGACGCAATGGCCTCCCTTTGAGGGGCCAACCTGGAGACCTCCCAGTCAGTGAGCCCCAAGTTGCACCAAACTCTCATGCCCACTGCACCCACACCATCGGCATGACCAAAATCCCCTGGGCTTCAGATCCAACGCCGAGAGCACAGAGAGGCAGCAGTCACCACGTGCGGCTCTCAGCCGTCCAGCAGGGACACCAGCGGGCTCCCCAGGAAGAGGCAGACAGGCAGGTCCATTCTAAAGGTGTGGCCCTGTGCTCCCCCGGGTGCTGTAGCTGCACCACAGGCGAGGCTGCCCATGCCTGTACCAGTAACGATCCAGGCACCTCATTTCAGTAAGCAAACCCCTGTGCTGAGAACCAGGGACATGCAATTGGCCCTGGTCCAGGACACAGATACTACAAGAGTGAAAGGCCTTGGAATGCCAAAGAAAAGTCAAATATGTTGCTAACCCTAGGATATGGTGAGCTGTTAAATGAACAGAAGCAGAGAATTAGGCAAAAAAATAAAACAAAACAAACCTAGAGTAAATAACATAATGGGCCACTGTTGGTCCTGGCTGGAAATGCCCCGGTCCCCCCTTGCTAGGATCCCTTCCTCTGAACAGATCCTCAAATGCACTCACCTCTCGACAGAGGAAACAGCCTGGCCTCCGCACAGCCATAATCACAGCTCCATTATTTTCCCAGAGCGTCTTTGCTTTAAAAGTCACTGGTTCTGAGAAGAAGAAAAGGGAATTCAGTATCATTTCCTCTCAGCCTGGCCCCAACCTCTAAGCACCTCATAAACAGCACCAGGCCAAACAGAGGACCTGCAAAACTATTTCACATGTGGGAAAAAGCAAACAGGAAACACGGATAGGGAATATTTATCTTTCCAAGGAAAATGAATCCAGTGTAAGGGTCCTACTGTATAACCAGAAGGCCCCTTCCCCATAAAAATCTAGTTGTGAACTTGAACATCCCAAACTGGAACATTTCTGGAAAAATAGCATATTCCTTTGCTGTCTCAGTGTAACTTGTAACAATCCTTTAGGGCAGATACATGGCCAAAACTTGAACGAGATCTTGCACTTTGGCCAAGAAAACCCCAATTCTTAAAAAAGTATTCAGAGAAATTAGGTCAAAAGAAATTAAAAACAAAAAACAATTTAACCTAAATATGTCAACTGCACCATTATCCACAGGAGAGGGTAGAAGACGTCCAACAAGGAAACTCTTTGGGTAGCGGAGTAGTGTGGCTCAAGCCCGGCTCCAGTCACACTGAGTCCGCATCTAGGTGTGACCCGGGGCAGGCTCTATCTCCGCCCTGAACCTCCATTTCCCCATTTGTAAATGCAGATGCCTAGCAGCTCCACTTTGGGCCACAGGGAGTATTAAAAGATGGATATAAAAGTGCTCTCCAGGTAATACAGAGTCAGTGAGGGCTCAATAAGTACCATCCCTTATTATTTTAGCATTTCTCAGAGGAATCCATGTCCCTGTGGGATGTTACATAGGAAAAAAAGAAGGTGGGAGGGGATCGAAATCAAATGACACTGGGAAACGCTGGGTCGAACATAGCTAAATAGGACTCTCTCTGCAGGGCTTCTTAGTCCCTTACTGAGGTGACCTACATCATAGATCTGCAGTCACAGTTCCTGCCTTCCCTTGACAAGCTTCCTCACTTACTGAACAGACGCAATGGCCTCCCTTTGAGGGGCCAACCTGGAGACCTCCCAGTCAGTGAGCCCCAAGTTGCACCAAACTCTCATGCCCACTGCACCCACACCATCGGCATGACCAAAATCCCCTGGGCTTCAGATCCAACGCCGAGAGCACAGAGAGGCAGCAGTCACCACATGCGGCTCTCAGCCGTCCAGCAGGGACACCAGCGGGCTCCCCAGGAAGAGGCAGGCAGGCAGGTCCATTCTAAAGGTGTGGCCCTGTGCTCCCCCGGGTGCTGTAGCTGCACCACAGGCGAGGCTGCCCATGCCTGTACCAGTAACGATCCAGGCACCTCATTTCAGTAAGCAAACCCCTGTGCTGAGAACCAGGGACATGCAATTGGACACAGTGTTTCTCAAATTTATTGGACTCAGGAGCTCCTGTCTTTGAAGATCCAGGAGCCTGGAATTCCTCAGAACACACTCTGGAAGGTTTGGTTGAGTAAACAGTGGTACAATTTTACTAAATATTATGGAACGATTATCACTATATTTAGAGAGACAACATGAGAAAATGAAAAATGCTTTTGATAAGAAAAAACTAATACTCAGCCATAAAAAAACGAAACTGAGTTATTTGTAGTGAGGTGGATGGACCTAGAGTCTGTCATACAGAGTGAAGCAAGTCAGAAAGAGAAAAATACCACATGCTAACACATATATATGGAATCTAAAAAAAATGGTTCTGAAAAACCTAGCGGCAGGACAGGAACAAAGATGCAGATGTAGAGAATGGCTGAGGACACGGGGACGGGGAAGGGTAAGCTGGGACGAAGTGAGAGAGTGGCATGGACATATATACACTACCAAATGTAAAATAGATAGCTAGTGGGAAGCAGCCACATAGCACAGGGAGATCGGCTTGGTGCTTTGTGTCCACCTAGAGGGGTGGGATAGGGAGGGTGGGAGGGAGACGCAAGAGGGAGGGGATATGGGGATATATGTGTATGTATAGCTGATTCACTTTGTTATACAGCAGAAACTAACACACCATTGTAAAGCAGCTATACTCCAATAAAGATGTTAAAAAAAAAGAAATAGGTTTTATCTCTTAAAAGAAAAAGCTAAAATGTAAAAGATCAATATACAAGTACACCAAGATCATAACTACATATTATTATGTGTACACCTGGAAAAATATGTGTGAAAATAAAAAAGATTATTGTGTTAGGGTAATGGAATTATCAGTAATTCTTAAAGTGTTACTAAATTTTTCCTAATGTTATATTGCCTTTTCAATTAAAAAAAAAAAAGAACTACTTCAGAGAGAAAAAAACTAAGTAAGCCTGCATCCCAGCAACTTGGAAAAGTACTGACACCAGTGGAGTCACTGCTTACCCTTCTCCAGTGTTTTCAGGTCTATATCCTCCAGATACTCCAGCGTGGCTTTCTGGGGCTTGGGCAGAAATACGTCTGTGTTGGCCAGGAGCAGTGCCAAGGCAGCAGCCCCTAGGGCCCCCGCACCAATGGACCACATTCCCATGGTGAAGAAACTTGGATCCTGGAGGAAAGACATTTCTGGGGATTGAGAGAAAGGAAGACGACGTTACTGCTCCCATAGGAGAGCCGGAATCTGATCTCCCGGACAACAAGGCTCTGGCTGGGCAGCCAATCAGGGGGCCAGAGGCAAAGGGAGGAGAAGCAGCAGTGTCAGAGATGGGACTGGACAAGGGCTGCTAACCGAGCCCCTGCCCACCTGCCGCTACAGGAGCCTGGGAATACAACAGACATGTGGAGGTTCCTGCCCCAGGGAGCTCACTAGTGTGGGTCAGCAGCCACGACAGAGGCAACAGCCTCTCTTGCTGCTCCCTCTCCCTTGCTGAAGGCTGTGTCCTCCCAGCTTGATGGCGCTCCTCCAGGCTGTGTCACTGCCCTCCTCATCAATGTCTGCTCTCTTCCTTCACAGTCCAGGAGTGGCAGCTCCCACCTCCCTGGGGAGGCAGCAGCCTCTCTGTGTGATTAGATCACTTAGAGACCAACCACCCTGTTGTAACCCTACCCTTCCTCCTCGCTGTGAATCCCTCAGACACAGAGCCCAGGTCCTATTCATCCAGCCCCCAGACAGTGCCCAGCAGGGCCTCACTCGAAGTAGGCAGGCAATCCCAGTACATTTCTCCAACTGAGAATACCTTTATTTTCTACTCATTATACAAATAAAACAGGCTCATGGTGAAAACAAAACACCAAAAAAGAAGCAATACATAAAACCACAGCTGACAAGAAAGCAAATATCCTCTCAACATCTACCACCTATTAAATTATACAGTTTAATAGAGATGGCCACTATTAGTCTGACATTTTTCCCCTGTGAACAGAATTATACAGATGCCTGTCCACTGAACAGGTAGAGAGACTAAGAGAGAAGGCAACATGTAAGAAAGAGCACGGTGCTGGGGTGTCTGCTTCAGAGGACTGGGCAACAAACAGTCTGCACTGGACAGGGGGCTCTGTAGTTGAAATGGAGGTCCAGGCAGGTCCTATAGCATCCGGCCTCCTCCCCAGCTCATGCTTGGGGGCCTTGCCAAGGCTTCCTCTAGTTGGGAAGTCTTGTGCTTCTGAGTGGGAGCTCCTGGAAGCAGCCCACCCCTGTAACCGCAGCAAGTACCCCACCCAGGCTTTGTTTCTTGACAACCACTTACAATACCTATCTTTCCATCTGGCCCTCTCGCCATCCTAGGATCTGACTTACGCCGGAGCCTTCCTCCCCAAGTACCTGCACGACTGTAAGTGCTCGGATCACTGGGTACCGACCTGAGGTGTGTGTCTACGTGTATGTGTGTGTGTGTGGCCCACCTGACCTCATCCCACCTAACCAAAGGCTTAATTCTCCCCTGCAGGACTTGACTCAGGAGAGGACCTCTCCAAAGGATTAAGCAAAAGCCCAGAAATCCGCATGTCACTGCCAAGGGAGGGGGCTGTGAGGGATCCACTGCCATGAGGTAGGGTTGGGAGTAACTTGGTGGTGATAACTTTGGGAAGAAAAGGGTAGGCCAGACTAGTGTTTAGGCCAGCCCGGGAAGTTCAGACTTGAGTTCAGAAATAAAAGGGAACTTTCAGACAGGGGATGTGGAGTGTGTACTGGGAATGACCAAATGAAAATAGCCTTTAAGAAAGAGGAATTTGGCATCTGTACACTAGGGGACAGGATAAAGAAGGGGACTGTGTGTGTTGGGGGAGGAGGTGAGCTGGGAGAGAAGAGTTTCTTATAACCTCAAAATGTGCTCTCGTGCGCTGGCAGCATTGGCATCGTGGAGAACTGCAGAATTTCCAGCCTTACCTCAGAACTAAAAAGTCATAACCTGCATTCATCAGACATGGCAGGCAATTCACAGGCACATAAAAGTTTCAGAAGCATTGTCTTGGAACAAAGAATTCAGGTTTTGTGGTTGGTTGGCCATAAGCCACAGAACAAAGTACAGCCATGAGCGCAGGCTGGCCTTGGAGAGCTGGGCCTTCCTCAAGGGCCAGCTTCTGTTTCCTCAGCTCATTGTGTGAGGGCAGCCACAGAGACAACGAGAGTCAAAAACCAGGGCACAACTCCACGCCTCTGCCCCGAGTGTCCTTCTTCATTCGCTCTGTTCTGCATGACTCAGACGCCTCTTCCAGGGGTCTTCTTGGATGCTCTGCCTACCCCCGTCCCCCAAGAGCGGATTATTCACCCCCACCTGTGTCCAAATCACAACGATCCTTCTGATTTGGACCTGTTTTCAAGTTTTCTCTCTTCTGACTCTTCCTCAGTTTATCTCTGAGTTCCCCCGTGCCCAGCACAGGGCCTGTTTGTGGTCCACAGTGGGCTCTCCATAAATGTGTGCTAAAATGAATTCAGTAGGATTGAGTGATGAAAATGATGACTTATGGAGGACCGAAGCACTTGGGCAAAGCAGGAAAGAACGTTCCACAGGCCAGCTTCCAGTTCTTTTATGTGTCAAAGTTACACATTATACTGCATTATAGTTCACAGAACAATCAGGAGGAAAACCACAGCTCTCACCTGCCTGCTGTAGACAGGAGATTCCCCAGAGCCTGAAACAATTTCTGTACCTTGACGCACTTCCAAAACCTCCCTGGACTGCTGCCATGTGTATACGACTAAGGTCCACATGGCACGGTCTCTGATCACAGATTTGCTAACATTTCTGCCACAGTTCGCAAAGGCCAGCTCACACCTGCCCTCCAGAAGGACTCACTTCAATTCCTGGGACACATCAGAGCGTTGCAGGAAGTCCAGGGACCCTTCCAGTCAGCTCCACACCCTTCTAACACACCACTGGCTGTTTCTGGAGGCAAACAGGCTCCGGCTCCCCACTGTCCCATCAACAGCCATCGAGCCTGTTTGCTCGCGAGCACAAGGGAATCAGACTCAAACAGACTCAACATTTATTTCCAAACATTTATTCAGCACTGACCTGTTTAATAAATGGCAGTTTGGGATGACATAAAACTAAATGATAAACAGTCCTCAAGGAGATACAGGCCTAGTACACAGATAACAGAAATTCAAGTGGAAAGGTATGAACACGGGGCTAAGGCGGTGCAGCGGTGAGAACCAGTTACATCTGGTCTGGGCAGCCGTAGAAGAACCCAGAAGGAAATGGCTTTGAAGCAGGCATAGGATTCAGAGAGCAGGATGGAGCAGCTAGGCCAGGCTTGGGCTCAATAAGCCTTGGGAAACAGCGGACTGGCGGGGGTGAACGTCCCAAAGGCGCCTGACACCCTACCTCAAGTTCACAAGCCAGAGCACAAGATGTGGGCTTCAAAAGCCCCAGGAGCATTGTTTAGCACCCCAGCCCCCGCCTCCAGCTGTGATCCGGAAAGCATAAGCACAGAGTCACCCCTTTGGGGAGCTTGGCCCAGGACCTCAGGCCCCACAGCACTGAGATGTGAGAGCATTATCAGCACCAGAGGTGAGAGGCTGGCCTCTCCATGAACATATACTCCCAGCGGGCCTCTGGCAGCTGCCTCTTCTGCCAGTGGGAAGCAGTGAAAACTGACTTCCGGAAACACCTAGAGAGTGTACAGATCCGGCCTCTCAGCCAAGACCCCCTGAGCTGCAAAGCAATTCCCATCCCAGCATGTCTTTGGAGCATGTGCCATGCAACTCGCTGGCTCTGAATCCTGCATCACAGCTATTCCCACCCACAAAGAAGGACTGGAGGGAGCAGGAAGCTTAATATCTACACGGGGCAATGCATTTTCACATGGGCCTCTAAGGCTACTAACTGGAGAGACAGGGAGGCCGGTAAACGAGCACGCACTTAGCGCCACTCGAAATGCGTGCTTTAATCTCACACAGTCGTACGATGCGCAGTTTCCTGTTACGCAGCTGACAACACTGACGTTCAGAGAAGTTCAGTACCTTTTCCAGTGTCCCAGAGCCAGCGGGACAGTGCTGCATCCTGGACCCAGATCACTAGGACCCCAAAGCCTGTAGTCTTTCTGCTCCACAGGCCTCCCCACACGTTCACTGGTGGGTTTCTGGAGGTCAAGAGGCATGATCCCTTTTGTCTTAAAAGATTATTTTAAATGATCAACCTATTTTTTTTTTCAATCATCACATACAGTCAAACCATGTTTACTCTAAAGGAAATGGACCGTGTGACAGATGTCCCTTCTCTTTCCTCCCCTCTCTATCCCCTTCTGTTAAGGAAAGGGTCAGTTTCTCTGAAAGATAATAGCAAGGCTGTTTACAGAAGAGCCAGCCGCCACCTGACACAGCCATAGTATTCGGTTCCCCACTGTGGCACTTATCTGATCAGGTCTCTCCCACAGAAGAACGTGAAGCGTGATAAGACCACAAACAAGCAACAGCTGGGGCGGCTCAGAGTGGCAGCGCTGGTCTGGGATAAGCGTCTCGGGGCAGGAGACCCGGCTGGGCTCCCTAGGCCTAGCTGGCTTGATCCCTCCCTCAGCCTCATTTTCCTCAACTCCAAAATAAGGGGGTTGGATGGGGTGAATGGCAAAGCTTCTAAAGCACCCAGTGACATCGTGGGATTCTATCAAAAACAGCTCACTTTGGAGCCTGCACATTCTCGGTTCCTCACCACAACTCTACCCCACCCCATCCCCCTTTCAATTTCCAGAGTGTTTCTTCCCCGCTGCCCAGAGCTTCACAAGGCACCTCCCCTCCCCCACACATGGTCCCTCATCCCCAACCTCGGGCACCAGGCACTCACCATCCGCAGTGCGCACACCCTGGCTTCTGCTGGCCCACGGGGAGCAGGCAGCAGGGGAGGGCTGGAGGTGGGGCTCTGGAGTCCCGCCTATGGCCCTAAGCTCACTCCATTGGCAGGACCAGGCCACCCAGAAACCCTGGGGCTCCTTCAGCTGCGGACAATCTCCAGAAAACATCAATATGGACAGCTGCCAAGATCCCCTAGCCGCAAAACTTGGAGCAAATGTTGAGTCATTTGCAGTCACGCAGATTATAACATTTATCAAGTGCCAACAGACTCCCTCTCTGCTTCCCCGGGCAGGCTAATGAAGTGAAGCCCTTAATGTGGCCCTTAATGCAGCCCAGGGGTCACACTAACTGAAATCAAAGGAAGATGTCCCTTTCCCCCTGGCCGCTTGTGTAACAGACAAACAAGCCTGACACCATAGTGGATCTATTCCTTTAGCTCTAACCCTTGTGCTCTGCAGCCTATGCTTAGTCATGCTGCCTCTGCACCTTTGTAAAAGGATGTTTCCTAGAGCCTGAAATATACATGATAGCCCATTCTTGAAGCTTTGACCTTTAAAAAGTAGCAGAACTAAAAATAACAATTGTCTTGTTGGAGGTTTATAGCAACACTGTGACAAGACCTACATGGACAGCTGCAAGGACAAAGGATTCCTGCACCAAGAAGTATGCAACCACCAGCCACCCGCCTCCCCTTTCAGTATGAAAGCAGCCTGAATTCTAACTCGGGTAAGATGGTTCTTTGGGACATGAGTCCATCATCTTCTCGGTCTGCTGGCTTTCCAAATAAAGTCGCTATTCCTTGCCCCAACACCTCCTCTCCCGATTTACTGGCATGTCGTGTAGCGAGCAGTATGAGTTTGGACTTGGTAACACTTGGGCAGCCTGCTCCCTTGCCCTGTCCTCCACCCCACACCACTGGGGCCCCTTACCTGCTGTCTGGTTCTTTACCTCCCTCTGCCTTCCCTTCTTTTCCTGCCACTTCAAGACTCCTCTCAATCCACACTCCCTGCCTCGGTGACCTCACCTACAGCCAGCACTTCACTCACCACCTTGGTAGTGACTTCCAGGTTCCAAGTGCTGCTCCAGACTCAAAAGTTTCCACTTGGGGGTTCTATAGGTTATCTCTGTTGCATCATGACCAAAGCTGAGTCAGTTTCTCTTCCGGAGTTCTTTTTCCCTAGCTCAGTGAATGACACAAGCATGGAGCCAACTCCTCAAGCCAGAGACTGCAAGTTGCATTTTACTCTCTGTTCTCCCTCATTGCCCACATGAAATCAGTCAGGAAGTTCTGACCATCCTATGACGTGGGTTCGCTACCCATCCTCTTCTCAGCCTCACTGCTGCTGTCCACAGCAAAGCCCCTATTACTCTGTACCTGGCCTATCTCAGTAACTACAGAACTCAGCTTGGCTGGCTCCAGCCAGGTCCTCTTCAGCCTTTCCTCCGTGCTGTAGCCAGAGCGACTGTCACACTCCCCGGCCTGATCACGTGCTTCCCTTGCTTTCAGACCCTCACTAGCTGCAAACCTCCCAGCACGCCGCCAGGGCCCTTGACAGCTCAGCTTCAGGCCACCATTCCGGCCTCACCCCTGGCCACTTAAGCACCCTCATCAGATCACTCAATGTGTAAGGATTATAACATATTTTGTTAGGCCTCTGCACTGTTGCTCGTGTTGTTTCCGTTACCCAGAATGCCCTCCCCGCCCATGCCAACTAGGGAAAGGCCCAAGCACATGTAACACTTTCTCTCCGAAGCCTTTCCTGAAAGCCCCTACAACTGACTGCTCCCTCACCTCTGGTTAGATAGCAGGCATGTATGTGCAAACACACACATACCTTTGCACAATGCACAAGCAGATGGACTTAGTGAATTTAGTTATTTACATGTCTGTCTACACAATATGGTGGAGCAATCTGAGGGCAGGGGCTGTTGTCTTATTCATTCCTGCAAATTCAGCATTTAACACAAATCTTGGCAACTAGTAGGCATTAAATCTCTGAATGAAATGATCTGAATTTTACTCCTTAAACTCTGCAGTGAGGCAGAGCTGGAACTAATTTGCAGCTGGTTTGACCTTAAAGAAACACTCAAGCCTGGGGCTTAGGTGACCTTAGGTTGGGTCCTACCTCCCCTGCTCATCGACAGGGTGATCTGACACAAGCTATGAAGACACTCTGGGCCTGGGTCCCCTCATCTGTACAGAGGAGGGAACTAGAAAATCTACAAGTTCATCTCGGTTCTGACATCCAAAGACTCTGAAGTACTGCATGATTGCAACTCCAGGGTTCTGACATCCAGAAAGCCACGGGGACACCTGCCACTACTGCTCTCCTAGGCTGGGTGTGTACAGTCTCACCCTCTGCTTCCCCAGGCCTCATTCTACCTGTTCAAGGAGATGCCTCTGGGCAGGAACTGATAAAGTCTTACTAAAACAAAGTATCAGCCCTGGGTGGGTTAATTCATGCCCGAAACAAGTAGAGACAGCATCATATTCCAAACATTAAGGGTACACCTGCCCAGCCAAGCCCGAACCAGGGAATCCTCCCTCCTCAGAATGAGCTGGCTTGAGGCAGACACAGGGCAGAAGGAAGAAAGGGGTCCTGAGGGAGACAAAAGAAACTAGGAGTGTACATGGGCTTCCTTGTCTCAAGCCCTCAGTGAACAAGGCTGGAAAGGATGCTTCATCTTCTTTTCTTTGCTCTCCTCTGTTCCTTCAGAGCTCTAGTTCAGCCCCTCCTTCACTGAGCAAAAGAAAAAACTAAGGCCCAGAGATGGGACCAGCCAGTCCCAGGTCACTTGCGGGGAGGACTGGTTAGTGGCTGTGCCGGGACTCAGGTCTCCCAACTCCCAGTCCATAGCTATCTATCCTGCATTGGACAGTCCTGCATAGGCTGAAACAGTGTGGGATCAGAGCCCAGGAAGAGGGCCTGCAGGTCTTCACGTCTGCTCACTGGCCTGAAGAAGGCTGAAAGCAAAACTGCTCCTGGACAGAGTCTGGGAAATCGGGTGGCTAGAGAGAGCACTAATCTTTCCCAAGCCCAGTACTTTGTGAGCAGTTTATAATTCAAAGCCAAATGTTTTAAGGGTCACGTTGCCCATTCTCAGCTGAGAAGCCACTCCATACCTCTCCTCCCCACAGTAACAAGGTCCTGTCAATTCTGGATAGACAGGCTTGAAAATGGCAATTTTAGCAGCCTGGTGACACGGGCACCCAGGGCCCCACGAGCAGTAGGACATACGCTCCCACCCACCCTTGTTGTCAAGCACCACGGAACTAGCCAGTTGCAAGGAGCTCTCACCTACTTGCCTCGGTCTCTGACTTCCTACTTTGCTCCTTGGCGTCACTGCTTAGCTCTTAAATGCCAGATTCAGAAAGTTCTGATCAGATGCTGAATGTAGAACAAGAGGACTGGAAAACATTGAGTCACTGCCAGTGTGAAGAATATGGGGGCTGGAAGAGGTCTTTTCCTCTGATCAGCTACCCTGCGGCTACAGAGCCCCACGCAAAATACCTGGCTGTTCTGCCCCTTGCTTGCACAGCCTCCTGTCTGGGCTCAGTGACATGAGTGTGGGTGGAAAGCAAGGGAGATACCACAAAAGAAACTGAGATTCAGGACAAAATCCTGGGTTCTCACTCTTCGATTATGAGAGGTCACGTCGTCCCTCTGAACCTCAGTGTCTTCTTAAAAACAGGGCACTTTGGGCTTCCCTGGTGGCGCAGTGATTGAGGGTCCGCCTGACGATGCAGGGGACGCGGGTTCGTGCCCCGGTCCGGGAAGATCCCACATGCCGCGGAGCGTCTGGGCCCGTGAGCCATGGCTGCTGAGCCTGCGCGTCTGGAGCCTGTGCTCCGGCAACGGGCGAGGCCACAACAGTGAGAGGCCCGCGTACCGCAAAAACAAAAACAAGAACAAAAACAAAAAAAACCCAGGGCACTTTGAAGGGTTGTTGGGAAGACTATATACGAGCAATGAGGAACAAACTGTAAGGCAGCATCATCTTTCTCTTCCTTGCAGGGCTCAGATTCACTCATTCTCCTACGAGAGCAGGAGATTTGAAGCAGAACAGACACAAAACACTGAACAACTTCTTCAGCTGTGTCACTGCAGGCCTGCCTCTTGGGCGGAAGTTCTGGATCTGGAGGGAACCCTGGCTTTTCTCAGGCCCCTGTGGTCTAACTGCCACCCCACAATGCATACTCCATGCTGCCCTTCTGCAGCCTGCCAGCACCAGAGAAGGCAAACAGCCCTGCCCAGTTGTAATCTCCCTGTGTCAGAGGCCACTGAGCTCAGGGATGGGCTGGCTCCCGCACAGTGTCTCCAGACAGTTCTTGCCACACACGCCTCAGCAGAAGGAGGTTTGGAGTGTCTCTGCTCAACATTTCACAAAAAGGCAAGTACCCAGCTGGCAGGAGAGCTGCCTTATTTCTGGGATACTAATAGAGCCTGGGGCTTCGAGCCTCAGAATTCCAGTCCTCACCAAACTTTCCAAGCACCATTTAAGTGACAGAAGCAGATAAGACAAAATAAGAAATGTCTTCATACCCCACAGGAACAACGCATAAGATGTCAAATAAATGGCATGCCCTTATAAAGAACAGCAATACAGGAACGGCCACACCAAGAATAGCGCAAACCTAATTCAAATTCCTACAAGCTGTAAGCACCTGGACAAGGCACTGTTTTTGTATCAGTAAAACAGGAATGATTCCCAAATTACAAAATGTAATCTTCCACAGAGTTGTAAGAATCAAAGGATTAAATGTATACGTGGTGCTTTGTAAGCTACCTTACGAAGAGTGACATAATGTGAGGTGTAATTCTTACTCATTTCTAGATTAGTCAATGATTGCCCCTTAAATGTTGTTTGTACATGAGATGGAGGGTTTCTGATGACCCGGTATGTTCCAAGGAGACAGGGTTTCTGATCTCCAGGACTGGGCTGGAGCAGAAGCATCAGAGCCTATATACAAGCTGGCTCCCGGACAATGCTTTGCTAAATAAATCCCAAGTAATTATTTTCTGTTTTTAACCATCTGACAAGTTCAAAGGAAAAAACATTAAAAAAAAAAAAAAAAAAAAGCTACACAGGGTTAGAGAATTGGGTTGTGGAAAGAGCCTCGTGTTGGTAAGGAAAAGAGGCCCAGAGTCAGCTGGGACTGGACCCCAAGCCGGCTTCTGGCCCCCCCGGGGGTGCTGCCTCCCCACGGCCCTGGCCAGGCTAGGTCTTAAACATCTTCTCCAAATGCTTCAGCTCCGATCCCTGCAACAACCTCGAGGAGAGACTGTCCGATCATCAGTGCCTTGTCTTTTCACTCCCAGACTTCAGCACAGTGTTTTAAAACGTACGGCTGAGCTCTTTTCAAAAAAAGTTGCCAGGGGTTGTAACCTTTGGGTAAGGGAAGCAAAACAGGTGCCTCTGAGATGATGAAAAACGCGAGAAATCGCCGCGCCATAAAACACAGGACCCTAAGCAGGCACAGAGCCCAAGACGACCAGGCTCTTGGCCTCCACCCGCACATCGCCCATCGCCAGCTGGTCGGCCCGCCACCCACAGGCCACCCCGCAGGCCCATCCTGGGCTCGGCCCCGCATAACAGACGCGCCAGGACAAAGCCCCTTTCTCAGTTCTTTGTCCCAACAATCCAGGCAAGCCGGTGCCATCAGCCTCTCTCAAAGCCTGGGGGCGGGGAAGAGAAGGGTTTCTCGGCCGGTCAGATCAGCGCAGGGTCCCGGCCCCGGGTTTTCTGACCGCAAACGCTGGGTTTTTCCGCGGAGCGCGGGGCTCAGGGGCGGGAGGGGTGTCGTCCTCCGAGGGAGGTGGGGGCCGCCTCGAGACCCGCAGGTGTGGCCGCGCCCTGCCGGCTCTGAAGCAGCTTCCCGCGGGCTCCGAAGCTGACCGTGGGGCTGACCTAACCAGCCCCGCATCCGGCCAACCCGCGCGCGCCCCGACCTGCATCATTCGCCCCTCCCTGCCTCAGTTTCCTCACCTGCCTTCGCGGACGTCACGTGCCCCGCAGAGCCCTGCGCGCCGCACTTACTGCTCGCGCTCCCCTGCAGCCCGCCCCCTCTCGCGCCCGACGCACGGTGGCTGGCGGATGGAACACTCCCCGGCCCCAGGGGTCCCAGGGGTGGCCCCAGCGCCTGCGCAGGTTCGCGCCTGCGTCTCCCCGCGCGCCACTCCCACGTGACCCGCCCAGTTCCCCCACCCCACCCCAGCCCGTGGCTCAGTGCCAGCCCGGCTGTGGCGCTGTCGCCAGCTGGGAGCGCGCGTCCAACTCTATGCGGCTCTCGGGACCCGTTCGCTTGCGGTCCCTGGTTCTCACAGCTCCAGCTGCTTTCAGTCCTTCACGAGTGGTGACCCTAGGCTCCTGATTCATTGTCGGGGCGCCTTCTGGAGCAAAAGGAGGCTCTCGAGTGCGCTGCTGGGAAGTCCTGTAGCCGAGGACAGTCCCCTTTCAGTCCTCAGCGAGTTTTTGAGCAGTTATTTTTTCACGGTTTTTTGGCATAGGGAGGGGGAACCTTTAGGGCCGACACACTTTAGCAACAAATTCAGAATTGCCAGCCTCTGACCCCCATCCCACATCCTCTTTCACCCCAAAATGCTGGCCATTGGGCAGAGCGTGGTGAGTGGAGATGGCTGGCTACTGGGATGTTGCCTGACTTCACAGATTCTGAAGTCGGGGTCTAGTTTGACCCACATGGTTCTTCCGCTCATTCATTTACTCCTCATATTTAAGTGTCCACATTGTTTTATAAAAGTAGGCAGTTGAGAGAACACCTTTTCAGAGACAGGAAGACCTGATTCACGATATAACACTTAAAGTGACACTGGGACAACTGATCAGTCACAAGGCAGTGTGCAATGAAATAGCAAAGCAAGGCTGCCACACCCGCTGGTCAGAGGGAGCTGTCTGCCTGCAGCTTGGCCCCTGAGTTCACCTGGCACCGCCTCCTGGTGTACAAAGTCCAAAGCGTTCCCTGTCACCTTCCTGACCTCCCACCCAGACTCCAAGCTCCTTGTAAATTTATGGGCCATTTAAGAGATCTCTCCTTCACCAGATTGTGAGTTCCTTTGCTCCATCTCTGGGAACCCAGAGCCTGGCCCAAGGCCAGCATGGAAGTATACAGGGGAAGTGCTGTGAAAGAGAGGATGTTTCTAAATTGGAGGGGAGAGGAGTCAGTTTGAGTGATCATGCAGCCTTCTTGCAGGAGTAGGTATTTGATTTGAAGGCCTGAAAATATTTGGTATAATTTGGTACAATGTGGGTGTAGTCATAAGAAGACAATTTACCCCCAGAGGGCCTTTCTCACTCCTGCTTAATACCTTCTTACCCGGTGAAGGGGAGGGGGAAAAGGCTTATTCTATCCATCCTGAAACAGGATATTTGGTCAACAGGGAGAAAGGTTGCAGGGGGAAAAGCCCACTTAGAACAAAACAGGAAGCCATTTCCCTTGAGTTTGGGTCCCCGGAGACTGACCATTAATGACAGAGCCATTCAGGGATCACCGGTAGCAGAATCCTGGGGTGGAAGGCTCCCTGAGGCTTCAGCTGTGGTATAATTACCAAATACAAAAAGCCATGATTATATTTATACTTTTGTAGCATTCCAAAGCTCTGGACTTCAAAAGCCAGGCTAGATCTGATAGCTAATTAACACACTCTTCACACTCCCCATTTGTCCAAGAAGGCGCAGGCTGAACTCATTAAAAAGCAGTCATCAGACCAGAAGAAAAAGTAGACACAGGAAAATTTACAAACTCAGGGATTAAAAACAAAAACATCAATCTACCAAGTTTGAAAAAGAAGAGTAGTTCTGGTGTTGTAAAGACCATGAAATAATCTAGATTTTAATTTAAGGGGGTAGAAATTAAGGTCGACTACGAGCTTTGTGACAATTTAGGTGTGGTACCCTCTCAGCAGGGGCAGGGAAACTGTTCTGTCCTTCAAAAATCCCCTGGGGCAGGCAGAAAACATTGCTAACAGGAGGCAGTTTGGGTAAAGATTTGTGATTCTTTCAGTGTCACAGACACCCCTAGATTCACCTAGCTTCATCTGCTCACTCAGCAGTGACCCAGGCCAGCAACATAACATGATTTTTTAAGCTGATGGTCCTGCAGTGTGTCTGGGCTCATTGGGGACAGTTCTGGAGGCAGCTAGCATCAACATGAAAATAAAGTAAAAATAGGTGCTTGATTTCATTGTTTCAAGCCTAGGTTCTTGTTCTGTGAATGCATAAAAGTCAAATCAAAATCTGGAAACATGTGTGAACCACAAAAACAGATGTGCACGGATCAGCTCCAAATATCTTTCTACTTGTCAATATCCCTGAATTCCACTTTCTTATTTTATAAAAGCATATAAAGATGCTCTACTTCCACAGCGCACCTCACAGCTAAGCCTTTCTGGAGCCCTCAATAGACGGGACCAGAGGTTCACCAGATGGACCAGTGACTGACCCAGAGCTGGATAGTAGGATAATTCTGTCCCCAGGTTGGGGAAACAGGGCTGCCTTGAGTGTCCTCACTCATTATCTTTTTCTCTATCCACTAACATTCATTTAGGAAGCTTTAGTGTGCAAGTAACAGAAACCCAACTCATACTGCCTTGAGGTGATCCTATGATTCAATAAAGTTATCAACTATCCAGGTCCTTTTGCTTCTTTGCACTGTTAGCCAGGTGTTGGTTCATGTTAAGACTGGTTCATCTTGTGGTCACAGGATGGCTTCCAAGATCCAGCATGGGGAGGGGCCAGTTAGACTAAGGGGTGAACAAAGCCCAGAGCCAGTCAGCCACTCTGATTGGCCAGTCACTGTGGTCAGGGTATTGCTGCGCTCTGATTGATCTAAGTCTGGGTTAGTGCCCATCTCATACATTATTGCGTGCATAGTTAAAAGGATAAATAGAAGTGAAATAAATGTCTTAAGATATTCCTAAGACATTTTCACATCCAAAGTCCAACTCTTCTCCATCATTTTTGGACTCAGAATCACTGATGTCTGCATTTATCACACAATATTATCCTTGGGCTATTAGAAACACTGGTGATGCAGCATTCATTTCTTAAAGAGTGCTCCACTACACTGCAACGAGAAGCCCACGCACTGCAATGAAGAGTAGCCCCCGCTCGCCACAACTAGAGAAAGCCTGTGTGAGCAATGAAGACCCAATGCAGCCCAATAAATAAATCTTTTTTAAAAAAAGAGTGCTCCACTATTGTCTTCTGCTCAAAACCAGCAGGAAGTTTTGATAAATAGACGTTTTACATCTTAATGGTAGTCCTTCAAAACACAGGAATTGGGCTTCCCTGGTGGTGCAGTGGTTGAGAGTCCGCCTGCCGATGCAGGGGACACGGGTTTGTGACCCGGTCCGGGAAGATCCCACATGCCACAGAGCGGCTGGGCCCGTGAGCCATGGCCGCTGAGCCTGCGCGTCCAGAGCCTGTGCTCCGCAATGGGACAGGCCACAACAGTGAGAGGCCCGCGTACCGCAAAAAAAAAACACATGAATTGTGATGACAATCTCTCATTGCTTTGGAATTTCTTTCATCTATTTCAAGAGATTTGGGAAATTTTCCATTGCATTACAATCCTTTTGCATGGATCTTGTAGTGAAAGATAATAGACTTCATATGTGTATGAAGGGGGATTGGGGGGTAGCTTTATTTCTTGGTTCTGTAAACCTCTTGATTTTGCTTTGCAAGAAAACAGAAAAATGAAGTCATTCCTTTGATAACAAAATTCCCTTTACTAATATAAATTTATTTTCCACTTGCTGTTTCCATGAATTTCTGTGTTCACAATAACTTTTTCACTTTAGTGCCAAATCCTAATGCAATCTCTTAGAAGATTTTTATACAGCAATTAAACTCAACTCATGGAATATAAACAATGTGCACTTGCAACTGGAGGCAACTTAACAGAGAATCCAAGCTTTATAAGGAAAACAAATGTCTGAAAGTAGTTGTGAAAGTTACATGAAAAAACAGACAA